TAGGCCTTTCTCTGCAGGTCAGGGGAAATATGACGAGGGCCAAAAGCTGGGGGAAAAGGTCTAGTGCTCCTAATAAGACAGAAGCATTTTGTTCTYATTTCATCAAAAACATTTTCATTTTCAAATGTGTTTTTGGCCCAGTTCTCAGATATGAGATACACTTTAACACTAACATTAGACGTTAAGCTAGATTTTATTGAGAAACTGCAAAAGTTAGTTGTTTGCTTAAAATAAACATGTTTAATTTTATTTTGATTTAAAAAATGCTACTAAAATTCAGAAAAACAACAATGTCCAATTTTAAATTCAAAATAAAATCTATAGGAGAATAAAGTGCACAGAATTACCTTAAAATGGTGGGAGCTTATTGGATTCTAGAACCTGGAGGGATGCACAGTACTTCATCAGTGTGACAGCATCCCTATACCTAAAGGCATTTAGAGTCATGAACCCTGGATGAAGGGAAGAATTTGAATAAATAGTGCAGATTTAGCACATTCTGCACATGTGTAAATGTCAWATTTTCAGTAAGAATTTATTCAAACTGAGTGCATAAAAATAAATCTTTAAAAAATTGTTTACAATGGATTATATTAATATGGATGTATTTTTATAGAAATAAAATTCAATTTGAGAATCTGAAGAAAAATGAAGTCAATATATATATWTTATTAGGTGCACATTTTTTGAAATTGATTGAAATGTGAGTGGGTCAGTTTGAATGATGAGTTTCGTGAAGGGAAACTATAAACTTGTACTTGTTCAGCATGAAAACAGCTTTATTACTTGTGATTACARCCTGTCTTTTCCCTCAAGGACTATTTTCTTCACAGCTTGTCCCTTCAGCGATCGAAACCAGGCTGTGCACAGACAGGCAGAGGTAATRTATGTCACGCCTCACTGTCTGTCCTTGTCTCGGAGGAGACAGGTACAATAGATGAGTACATAAGATATACAAAAAATGAAAGACAATGTATTACAAGCCTGGGTGTGACAAAGAGAACCAGAGAAAATCATTTAATGTGATTTTTCCCCCCTATAGTTTTATTATATATAGTTTATTATACCAATAAACAAGTATCAGGATGTGATGAAACAGTAAAACAAAAGAGTAAAAATGAGGTGAGGATGGAGAACATAGAGTCCAGCTCATAGTGTTAGTAAATAGGATAGAGAGAGGCAAATAAATAAATAAATAAATAAATAAATAAATAAATAAATAAATAAATAAATAAATGGGGGTGGAGGGAGGAGAGGAGGGAGGGAAAACAGCCAAATGACAGAGGCGTGTTTGTGTTCTGATCAAGCTGAGCCAAATGAAGGCGGCTCACCAATAGAGATAACCAACAAAGACATCTCTTCACAAGAGACAAATCTGTGAACATCTTTTCATGTTCAATAGCAATGGGCAGTCTTTTGTTTTGATCAAAAACAAACAAAAAAAATAGGATTTTATTTTTTTAGTTTGGGAGCGTGCAATCAGAACACAGGAACCGTTTTCATTTTTCCATATGTTTAGGTGAGACCAAAAGCTATGCTATCATTATGTCCTTAAGAACTTATATTTTTTGGATATTTATTCCTTCTCACCCTGGCTGCCAAGCTGGGATGCACTCAAGCTGAATAAACAACGATGTGGGCTCTTTGGACTGAGACAGGCTTCCTGGCATGGGTGTGCCTGCACCCTGCTTGGTTTCTCATCTCTATGGTTGGCGACAGTGAATAGATCAAATCTGTGGCAGTGTTGATCAGGTCCTCAGTGAGGTTTTTTTTCCCCTCACTGCTGGCATTGAACTTAGGCTGGGATGCAGCCAAGGTTGCCAGGCAAGGCAACACTCCTATTAGAGTCTGCCTTTGATTCATACACACATGCACCATCAACACCCACTAAACTCACTCTCACGCTGCCGGTGGCATCAGAGGAAAAACACGGCCATTCTTGGGAAACAGATTAAAAAAGGATGATCACCCCCCACCCATTTGGTTGGAGGTACTCCTTCACTGGTGGTGGTCAAACCAGAAAGCAGAGCATGTTGTAATTTGTCCATGAATTAAAAAAAACCCCATCAGATTCCCAGACATCTAATTACAACATTGAGTGAGAGAAACAAGTGATCCATGGTGGAAGAGGTTGAAAACCAAAGGAGAAATGATATGTTTGAGAAAGAAATGTGAGGGCACAGGATGTTGGGGAGAGAGTGCGTGTTTGTGTGCTTACCCACTTAAGTATTTGAAATTTAGATTTTGTTCGTATTGTTGATTTTCTTTTTTCTCTTGCCTCAGTTTTGCTTCTTGCCTTGTCTTGCACTGAAACAGGAATTTCAGGTTTTAGTTTAATATTGTCACCTTACTGCAGCTTTGCTGTTATAGACCCAGCTAATGGAATATAACACCAATCTGACCTCATTGTCCCTGACACAAAAAAAAGGAAGAAAAAAAAAGACGATAATGTTACCCCGACTCAGATTACTTCACTTTTAAACCCTGGACAATCAAACACCCAATGCTCTTGTTTGAGATTTACAAAGCTTTTACACAGATTGAAACCTCTAATCACAGAGTTTCACAGAAAATTGAAGAGGGAATTTTGAGAAAATGAAAGGAGCCGAACAAAACAATACGGTGGGCAAACTGAGGCCAAAGACTGGAAATTCCACTTGAATTGTTTATGTTCTGGAAGAGCAGTAGGAAAAGAGAACTGCTGTAATGTTGTAAGGGTTGTGACAAAACCAGCTCTGTGTCTGTGATTGTGAAACAATGCGTGAGGCTGACCAGCAAGAGCCAAGATTTCTTATTTTATTTTATTTTTTTTTGGGGGGGGGGGGTGGTATTTGTGTTCCAGTCAGTCTTGAGTGACCTTACAAACAAGCAGCTCGACTCAGAATGAGAAACGGTGACCACCCCTCTACATGTGCGAACAAAAACAAGTGACCCACGCTGAGTCTGCGAGAGGTCACTGCATGCAGAGCTCTGCAGACGAGCAGAGGAGTGGGCCTGAAGGAGAGCGAGCAGGAAATCTAAGAGGAATGGTCATTCGTCAGGGCTGCAAGGGAGAGTAAAATTTGTTTGTTTCTTCATGTGGAGTCTGTTTCTCTAATAGACTTTGCTGTCACAAAACAGCCTCACTTCTCCTGATTGACTATGTAAAGATTAATGGCTCCCCTCAGGTCTGAGTTCAGCTCTGTTGATACTAATGTGTCCCATGTGGCCATAGCTGGAGTCACATACAGACACTTTAAACGGTGACTGACCTCCAACTTGTTTTTTAGCTCTCATTAGTGTTGTGGTTTCTTTGAGAAACAGTTCTGCTCCTGAATAATGTTCYACTGCACTTCTGTTATTATTTTGTGTCACTAATTAAGCCTGAAGCACTGCTGTCTAGACACCCGATCCACCCAGTAGCATCCAACAGCTTTTTTTCTTTTATTGCTTGCTTTATTGTGCCTTCAGTTTCACACTCTTTTCATCTGTCCCACAATTTAGTTCTTATTCATTTTTAGCCTGACAGTAAAAAAAATAATTTAAATAACCTGACACCAGAGAATCTAGGTGTGTCACTAATAAACCAAAAATAACAATTTTTTCTACCTAGTTACACATTTTATATTAAGAATGACAGTGGCTTTTTGTTATCTTATTGAGGTTGCGTGCAGACAAACCCAGGGTATCATAATTGGCTTAGAATTTGTGACAAGACCTAACTACATTACAGTACTCTCATTATGCTGCAATTAGGGTTTGATTGTGAAACAAAGGTACAAAACAATGGTTGGATGAGACCTCTTGTTTGACGAAACTTTGCTGTAACTCTTGCATTCATTCAGTTAGTAAATAGGTCCTTCATTCTGTTCATGGCACCCCAATTCTCTCTCTTTTTTTTCCAAGTGCAAAACATCCCACCCCTTGTTGCCCAAAACCTTCTGCCCACCCTCTGCCAGTAGCCTGCAGTGTCCCACATTGGGCATCCTTCTGAACATTCAGGACATACAGACTCCTCCCCCATCCTCCTCGGACACCTTCGTCCCCTTCCCCACCAACACGCACACACCCGTTTGATTGTGACTGACAGTGTCTTTGTTCCATTGTGTGGAGCTGTCGCCTCTGATGAAGACACATACACAGAACTGAAATTGTTTTACGCAGCTTAGAAGCTACAAGTTTATAACCAATTGCATGACGAGCCCTATGTTTTCTGACTGGATGAGTGGAACTGGATTGAGTGTAGAAGTGCATATATGGCACAGATTGGGAGTAAAACATGTATGAAAAACTAGGCTACACAAGCCAGACCACAGGCCCCTCACAGAGTGGACCAGGACCAGGGGGTCCAGGCCCGATGGGTTAAGGGGGCCAGCTGGAGAGGGAGTCTCGGGGCTGCGCAACGTGTCTGAGGTTGTCATTAGTTTTCGCCCCTCCTCAGGGATGGGAACCAGGTCACATTCTCTCACACGGCACAAAGCGCGTGTGTGTGTATGTGTGAGGGTTGGGGGTTCAAGGGAGGGGTTTGGGTGAGGGGGGTTTAGGCCATGACCTCTTTATATCCATCAACAGATCACTTTTTTGGCCCATAGGCATGCTCATACAACACAAGCACACACAAACACATTCACATGCATGCAAACACATGCTAATGTGTGCACATGTGCACAGGCAGGCACACTCAAAATGCATATGCAAAAACTAGTATGTGCTGTGATGGTGGCCTCATATGTTTTGCATGCAAATATGTTACCAAATGCCCATGTCTATTGAGGAATTATTGTTGCCAACATCTGCTGCTATAATTAATGTTTATCTTCATTATTAACCATTCAAAATGCTCAGTATGAATCGTTGTTGAGCTTTTATTTGTAAAGAGCTGTAAGGAAATGGGCAAATAAATCTAATCTGTCTATGAATAGGTGATGGCTGCAACACAACCTAAAGTTTGCACCTGTTTATCCCAGACAAAGACACAACTCACAGGCAGAGCCACACAGCTACAAGTCAGGAGAAACTTCAACTTTTTACACAAGTGAAATAAATTTTATTTACAGTAGGTTTTAGTGTGACTGGGTGTCCCAGCAGCGACTCTGAGTACCACACCCTGAAACGTGGAATCAGATAAATTGGTTGTTTCCCCTCCAGTGCTGGAATGTGCCAAAATGTCTGCACTGAAAACAGTTTGTCTTTAAAATCAATGGGCCGAGTCATGAGAGAACCCAGTAAAATACTGCCCCCTCTTGGCATCAAAGGTGCTTCACACACAGTTCAAAAAACCTTTAGATAACCTTTATAAAAAACATTTTAGAGTAAGTCAGAATTGTGACTTGATTTAATATTATAAAAAAAACTGTCAGTGGTTAGTCAGAACATTGTTTATTTTTAAATCAAAATCCCAAATTAAAAATGTCTGACCGCACATCGTCTTGAATTTTTAAAAATCAAAACATATCCAACATATGAAAAGATTAAAAACCTGATTGAACAGCAGTTATGACCATGAGAACACTACGTCAACACAAACGTAAAATTAGGGACACAATACAGTACAATATAATACAGTTTAATATATTCTGACTCTATAATATATGTCAACTTTGATAAGCCTGAGTGTAGTTATTTAGGCTAGAAGTCATATTTTTCTTATTCCTATATTTTCAATAATTTCTTTGTTTCACATGATAACTGAGCTCAGTTTTTTTGTGCTTTAATATCCGTCCATGAGATTTCTGACTCATGTCCTGTCTGTGCACTGACAGAACATTAGGTTTTAGATAATGAAAAAAATAACCCAACTGTGGCATTCTTTTCATTAAATATCAATGCAATAATTCAATGTAATGTTTTTATATTGCTGCGTTCTGGTCTATGCTTCTTTGTCAGTACATTAGAGCACCCTGCATTTATTATCTCTGTGGAAAATGTGCAATTGTGCATGCTGTCTGGCAAAGCTTATCATGGTTGTCTTTGAACAAAAAAAAAAAAAAAAAAAAAGGAGCCCTCTTCTTTCCAAGCTACTGATTCTGGGCTACCTGCTCAGACCAGAGCCTCAAAGGAAGACAATGAGGAAATGAAGGATTCAACACTGTGTTCAGTTAGGAGAGATGGTGCGTCTGCGCAGGCAGCTACACGTCAGGCACTTGAGGATGCTCATGGTGATGTGCATGAGAGGGCCGAAATTGAACAGCAGGTTGTAAAAGGTGTTCACAGACAGGCCACCWGTCTCATCCGCATATTTTAAGGCCACAATCGGTGTGTAGAGGCTGTTGGTCAGGTTCCTAAAGCGAGGGCTGTCTGATTCAATTACCATCTTAGTGCACTGGATAAAAAAAAAGAAACAAAAAAGTTTTGGGTGATTCCATAAACTTTTCAGCCTTTGAAAACAAAAACACATCAATTCTTGCAGGTTCAGCCATAAAGTGAGGTAGATAAGTCATTTCCTTACTTTAGCTATGTCCTCTGGTGTCTGACCCATGGCTTCAAATATATCTGTGGATGACGGCAGGTAAACATCTTTAAAATATCGAACTGTGTCTGCATCGACCCCTGGAAAATCCATCTTGGACACATCCTCCATCATCTTCATCTCGAACTCGGTGTGCACAGGGCCGGGTTCAATCATGGACAACCTTGAGGCAAGGCAGACACAGAAGGATTTGAGAGGAAGCATGTACTATCAAAAAAAAAAAAAAAAAGTAAGACATGTGAAAATAGGACATTAAAAAAGAGGTTAATCTACCGGACATTGAACTTCATCAGCTGCACAGCCATGCTCTCACAGAACCCTTCCATTGCAAACTTAGAGGCTGTGTAAACATCATTAAACACCACTCCTGATGCAAGAACAAAACACAATGAAGTTAAAGTATACCATTGCATTCTAACATTAACATTTATAGCATTCAAATACCCAAACTTATCAATAAGAAGATCTTCACTCATAAAGGTCACAACTACTCTGAACAAAAGGTTTTAGACACATAAACATTAGTGTAAAAACTTTTTAACTTGCTCTGTTAAACCCTAACCACAGAGTTCGTCAAAAGTAAATACTAAAATTCTTTTCACGTGTTTGCTATTTGACCTAAGACATTCCACAGGCATGTATTGGAAATGCAAGGTATACCCAGGAAGGTGATAAATAAAGCTAAGAATTTAAAAATGTTGTCATTGTCTGATGTTTTTGTGAAAATAAAGCAAATTTAAACCAAAAAAAAAATAGCAATATTCACATTAATGAAGGGGTGTACTCAACTATATATTTTATTGTCTGAATCAAATACATTTGTTTTATTTTGTTTTTACTGCAAATAATATTTTAAATAATGTATTTTTACAATCCGAATTGAATCTCATCAGTTGTTTGGATCCTATTTGACTCTGAGGTTTTGGTATGGATATATTTTAAATGAGCTCATACCTTGGAGACCCATGACACTGCTCATGACCACGATGTGCCCTGAACGCCTCTTCTTCATGTCTGGCATCACTTCTTTGATCATTCGAACCACGCCAAAGAAGTTGGTGTCAAAAACCCGTTTCATTTCTTCAATGCTGATGCTTTCCACTGGTCCCAGCAAACCCACACCTGCATTGTTGACTGACAGGAAGCACACCAAATCAGAGGGTACCCTGCAACAGCAACCAAACGCTCCAATAGTCTAAATTTTTAAGGCTTTTTAGTTTGTTTACTCAGATCCGCGAGAATGATCAATAGACATTATTGCTTTTTTACTACCACCAGATGTCAGTATAAAACAGTTTCAAGGAGGTGTGATGTAACACAAGTCCATGCTGAGGGGGCCTCTGGGTTTCGAGTAATTATGTGAAGGGGGTGTAAAGCTGGATGGAATCATGTTATAAATAGATGCTTTATCCAGAATACAAGTTTTAACATGAACTGAAAAGAGGCACTTGTTCAAAAGTTATTAATCTAAAACATTCCGCAACACAAAATCCCACTCAAGTTACTGCTGACCTTTGGGATTTCTGAGCTCCGGACAGAGCCAAGCTCTGCTTTGTTTAAGCTGGAAAGAAGGTGGTTCCGACAAAGACACTTTTATGGATGCAATAAGTGTCGTGTCTAGTGTCAGGTATACCTCACTCAAGATGGTCTGTGATGGCCATTTCTCTTTGAGTACAGAATCTGTCTGCCCACTGGAATTTCAAGACTCCCAATCCCCTCCTTCCACCCACTCAACTGCAAAACCACAGCAAGTTCAACCGTTGTCTCCAAACCCTCGTGTTAGGATTTTTGTTCTATTCTAACAGTAAAAAAATGTTTCTTAACATGCCTCAAAAAGTAAGTCTCCCAAATAAAGATATAACACGGTTTATGATGAATACAATCTGCACCAGGAAGAGAAAAAACCCAAAGTGTTTAAAGTTCAAAGCGTTTAAAACTCACTCAGGATATCAACATGGCGGTCCTTAATGCTGTTAATGCACTGCTTGACGGACTCGTCGCTGCACACGTCTAATGGCAGCAACGTCATCGTCTTCCCGTATGCATCTCCAGCCGCCTCCTCGAGCTTGTCCTTCTTCTTCAGGTCCCGCATGGTGGCAATGACTGATTGTGACAGACACAAACGAGTACAGGAACAAGGTGGATAAATAAGCAGACATCTGAAATCCTCCAAATGATTCCAGTTTGTTTCTAGAAAACACGAATGTGTACAGTTTAAAGTAGACATATCCTGCTTTTCACTCCTTTCCTTTTCACATTTAAATCATTCAGTTGGGGTTGATATAAAGTGGAACTTTTTTAAATTCATTTATTCATTTCATTTAAAAATAAAAATGAAATTTTTATACACAACAAAGAGAAAAAAATCACACTTGAAATGAAAGGAGGCAGAAAGAAGAAAAAATATCTTATAATATCTGCCCTTTTTTTCCAAAATAAATTTCAAACAACAAAAATCAAGAAACAAAACAAAAAAAAAACCATGCTTTTGTCTGAATTCCTCCTTATTGTAACTCCACAAGCCCCTCTCTTTCACCTCTTTTCTAAAGTGTGTCTCAGATCAACTCATTTTGAGGCTGTCTCTTTAAATCCAAAACGATTTGCTTCACAGCCCACCCCCTCCAGCTTCCAGAACGATCTATTGTAGCTTAGTAGAGGGGTTTTAGACTATATAGTAGCACGGACACTGACTGACTGACTGACTGACTGACTGACTGACTGACTGACTGACTGACTGACTGACTGACTGACTTACTTATACATTCAACTTAATCGAAAATGTCAACAAGGGCAGACTTGTCCATCCAACCGTACATGTCAGAGCCAGAGCCAGAGGAGAATGATGACGCTGTTATGCACTCCTAGAGAGTCCAAGTACACAACAAAATGTATTTAACAGCTAGAAATGTGGATTTTGCACACTCTTTAACTGTTGCATTTCCCCCAAATAATTCCAGCGTGGTGAATGCAAGCCCAAACCAACATTGTTTGGCCTCAAACTGTTCTGGTTCTGACCCTTGCAAGACTTGTGTAACTCTGCAGTCTCTGTTTAATTTTAGTTAATGTAACTACCGAGGTGGGGTAAAGTGGACTGAGCTTTGTTGGAACTCGGAACGCAGAAAGAAASCCTTCAGTTCTTCAGGATGTGTCTTTTAGTGAGATGAGCGAGTTCTCCTCACTGATGCACACCGAGATAACACATATCCTCAGTTCCTACAAACATAAACTAGTGTTTATTTGGTGGTGGGGATGTTTCTACATCTTTTATTATAGAGAACTACACACACACACACACACACACACACACTAATCATTTATTTCTATCTCTAAAACCACTGTGACTCATTGGCTAATTGACACAGAATTGCGCAACAACCGACAGATGAAACTTTAACTGAATACACGAGCACGAACGCACACACACATGAACTGGGACAAAAGTGAAAGAGTCGGGGCCAAAGTTCCTGTCGGAGGCAGCGCCTGTTCCAAGACGCAGAACTGATTCACTCTGAACTTTAAACACTGGGCAACATTAACCTACACACAACACAGAAAGCTGTCATCACCAGCAGCTATCAGCACAGCCGCCACTGGCTTCTTCCACGTTGTGTGTTTGGCCTACACTGTGCTGACTGACGTTATCTAACACACGGAAAGATAGGCACAGTTGCACAACGGCGATAAGCAGGAGTAAACAACCTCTTTATCCCGCATATATCTGAATCTACCTGTTGTTTTTGGCAGCTGAAGGCAAAATCTCACCTGATTCTTGTGAGAACATAAGCACAGTCGGATAACTTGGATTAGAAAGGATTAACCTACTTACTTAACTCCAGCTTAATAAAACGGTATACAGCATGTTGTCGAAGCTAAAACAGTTTTTGAAAACGGGTGAAAATTGGATTTGTTGCCGTTTAAAAGTTTTTTACATTTAGTTTATGTACTGGTAACACTTTGTGATATTTTATTTCGATTCAATCAAGTAACAAAAATATTTATGTGTTGATGAAGAGGTAAACAAGAGCTCCATTGTTCTTCTGGCTCCTGGAGGAAGAAACACTTCTGGGCAGCTCAAAAACTCTTGAATGAACCGCGTTTCTACAAAAACACAACAATGCTTGGGAGCTTTCTTAAGAGTCCTGTGCATGCGACTAAAATGTTGCTCAACGCAATATTTAATCTCTGCTGGATTTCCTAAGGAACAGAGCAGCTCAGCGCTTTTTCTCAGATGTGGCCTTGTTGAAAGCAGCTCACAGCGAGGAACAGAATCTGCTCCGCCAGTCCTGGGAGGGAGGGAGGGAGGGAGCTGTGAACTGCTTTTGTTTTGCTCATCAATTTTCATGGTAATAAATTTCATCAGATCCCAGTGATCCAAAGAGCAAAAAAGAAATACTGAACCAAACGTTGCACCAAAGTCTCTAAAGAAAACTATGCTAGTGGCTGTGAATTAAGGACTTTATTAACAGGACTAGCTCTAGTTAAAGCTACTCACTGTATAAACTATCAAAGCAAACATAAAAAGTTTAACCTAAGCTATAGTAAATAGTGCATTCTATAAAAGCTTACTCCAGTAGTTTTCCAGATGTATTGATATGCAGTTTTGAAATGCAGGTACGCACCCAATGTAAACAAAGAAATTTCATCTGCATACTTTAGTCCAGGTTTAAAAATGATTTGCTGCCATTTTAACGCCTAAATGCCATGGAAATATTTTTAGTTTTGGTTGAAGATGTTCGTTTTACTGGTGCACATGCATTTATGTACTTTCTTTTTACGAAAAACAAAATTATCAGTTTATTATCATTTTTTGAGACACCCAAGCTACGGCTCATGGACCCCTGGCGGTCCTGGGACCMCAGTTTGAGAACCTCTGCTTTAGTCAACAGATATGAGCATACTGTAATTAGGTACTAAAACATCAAAATTGTTGTACTTGGTACCATGGACGTCTTTGTTTATGTATTATCGATCCTTTTGGCTGTTTTCGTAGGCAAACAAATGTGGTATTGAGAAGTTGTTTACAACTTTTTTATACAAATTTTGAATTCAAGGACACATTAACCATTTATATGCCTGTTTGCTTTTTTTATACCAGTCTTTATGACATCGCAATGAGTACTTTCAACGGCTCATTGACGCACATCCAAATTATTCTCAGCTAAGAACAAAATCAAGAAAGATTGAGGGAAAACTCCCACCAACGGGACTGGGGTTGCTAAGGTGGTCTCACATAACAGTGTAAGGCTCTATGAAGCAAAAATAAAAACAGATTTGGAGTTCACTTCAGATTTCGAACCTGACATTAATGATGTCAGAGAAGCAGGGAGGAAACACAGCCACAATGTCAAAGTGGGACTCCACTGCTCCCCTGTGTCCCAATGAAGACTTCAAACAAAACCCCTGCTTTAGAGTGAACCCATGCTTGTACAGGTCTCAAACTTTGTCCCCCTTTTCACACTCGCTCCACTGAGGGGACTATAGGCCCATTAGACACGGCACTAAACTGGAGCAGGCCCTCTACAGTTYACAGCAATAAAAGGGAGCTTTGTGCTGGAGAAGTCACTTGAAAGAGAACTGACAAGACTCCTTTTCTCTGAATCCTGCCTGGAAAGCTGCATCCTTGCAGAGGCCTGCCCTGAAAGCACTTCTTTTAGATGGCAATGAGTGAAACTTAGAGGGAGAGTGGATTTCAAGWCTGACAAAACAACATGATTCAGAGTTTAGTTAAAGTTCTCATAAAGTCTCACATGAAGCTCAGACCTGATGTGGGGGTGCGAGAAGCAGAGAGCTGCAGGGAAAGTAAACACGTCGTCTGATCAGGCGACACTCAGCTGCAGATTAAAGAATAAAACACATTTACCATGATAACGCTGCTTTTCGTCTCTGGCCAACGTGACTGCAATTCGTAAACCGATGCCCGAGGAGCAGCCGGTGATCAGCACAACTTTCTGCCCGCTGCTCGCCATGATCTGTCCGGGTTAGGGAGCTGYGTTTTCCGGCGATCCTCTGCTCCGGGTGGTCGCTGCGGAGGGGGCTACCGATCACCGGGCGGACTTAAAAAAACAAAAAACAAAAAACAAAACAAAAACACAAAACAAACTAAAGCGGATCATGAACGCACTGCAGCCATGTGTAAGCTCCCAGCTCAGTCACATGTTTACACCGAGGGGGGAAAAAGTCGTGACATAACACCCACCACTGATTAAGACTATTTGAGTACAGCCCTGGGTCAGAGGAATTAAGTCTGCTTAATTCTTAAAAAAAAAAAAAAAWAAAWAAAAAAAAAAGGCGAGCGTGCACGCGCGCACGTGCTTGTTGCTGATGGGGGCAGTGCTTATTTGATTTGTGAGCTGTTGACCCCAGCAGCTCCTGAAACACTGTTCGGATTATATTTTCCAAATAAATCTTAGCTTCCACGTGATGTTTCCTGTCCTGGTATATTTAATATGTTCTAGTTCATTTATTTGTCAAGACTGTATAAAACATTATTGTTGTTTTAATAATAAAACCTGCAGCAGTAGCTGTAGTAATGGTGGCATTACCTTTAATTTTTTGGAAATTATAAACCTAAAAACCTACTATAACTATTTGTATTAGTTATACATTTATTCAAATCTTTTGAAAAAAATTAAATCATGAAATCGGTTTGTTAGCATATACCACCATCTTGTGATCAGCAAAGGAATTGCACAATTAAGTACATTTTTTTTACTAAAGGACTTTGGCCCTTGATGTTACAAAAGGTCAAAGTTTCTAAGATAAGTTCTCAGATAAAACCCTTTCACTGCCATCCAGGGAAATCCTGCAATAYGAGAGTGTCTTGTTTAAGCCTTTTCCTACATGATGCAACTTCATACACATTGTGTCATGCAGTTTTCTATTGTCAGAGGACAGAAAATTTTGCGTTTTCTGCATAAGCTAACAGGTGGATGGCCTAAATAACAGTAAATAAGATGTTTTGCATGTAAACAAGTTGTTATTTGGTTTGTGGTTTTATCCTAACTGCTTGAATCCACTTTAAAATGTCTTACCTCTGACTAGTTTGTTAGTTCAAGTTTATTACAAACAGTAAAAAAACATAAAATAACAAATTTAGACATACTTTAAAATGAATGGAGTGAAGTAAAAACTTATTTAGTCCCACCTTCTCCAAAGCTTACTAAAAGTAATACATTATTCTGATTCTGTATTCTAAATTATGCAATAATGAGTTTATTAAGACCCCCAAAAATAAGCAGTTCATACTAAATTATATAAGACTTTTTAAAAATATCATTGACATATAAATTTTCTAGACATTTGTCTATTTCTTTTGTAAAAATATGAATTATTAACACATTCGCAGAGATACACTCCTGATCAAAATCTTAAGACCAGTCAAAAAAGTGCAAGAATTTGCATTTTACACTATTGGATCTTAAGAAGGTTCTAAGTAGAGCTTCACAATGTTAAAAGAAGAAATCAGTGCAAGAGACAAGAACTTTTGAGCAGGGAATTTTCTGAAAACTGCATTTACGCTCAAACATGATTTTTTCAGCTGATCAAAAGTTTTTTCTTTTGCGGACCATTCTCTGTAAACCCTAGAGATGGTTGTGTGTGAAAATCCCAGCAGATCAGCAG